TTCCTCCAATCAGTCGTCCAGCCCAGACCCCAGGGCTGGTGAGGAGTCTGCGCCAGACCCCAGGGCTGGTGAGGAGTCTACGCCAGCTTCGCCATATTTAGACACAGGAGACCAGGTTCAGTGACACAAATCTGCTTTATTGCAGGAAGGCACAAGCTTATATAGGGATAGTGGTCCAATCACAGCATAGCAAGTAGGATACCTCATTAGCATAAAAGGTTTAGCATCCTATCACAGAATAGCAGGTAGGATGCCTCATTAGCATACTGGGTTTCAGATTACAGAGCATGGATTCCTGGAAACCATGTGACCCTGACTGTTGTAATATCTAAGTGTTACAATTTGGAATTCCAAGGGTGGTGATTAGGGAGTGGCAAGCTCTAGGAATCAGTCTCATGATCTGCCAATGGGAGCAAATGACACAAGGCGTTCCTTGTGGCTCCAGTGGTCAGGCCGTTACCTCAGGCCTGCTGTATGGCTGTAAATAAGACTTTCACCCTAGGCTCAAGCCTATCTCCCACACCCTTTCATGCCCTTCCTTATTTGCTTCATATGCTTAGGTGTGCCAATTTTTATTTATTTTTAATGTATTTATTTTATTTTATGTGTAATAGTATTTTGCCTGTATGTATGTAAGTTCATGTATGTCATGCAATGCCCATGGAGGCCAGAAAAAGGCATCAAATTCCCTAGAACTAGAGTTACAGACAGTTGTTGGCCGCCATGTGGGTGCTGGGAACCAAACACTCTATAAGAGCAGCCAGTGCTCTTAATCATTGAGCCATCTCTCTAGTCCCCAGGTGCTCCAATTTTGAATGCATATATATACATATTAATCAAACTGATGAACTGGCTCCTCTATCATTAAATGATGACTGTTTTTTGGTTTCTAGTAAGTTTTTAAAACTACAAATTTCTTTTTACATTTATTTAGTGTGTGTGTGTGTGTGTGTGTGTGTGTGTGTGTGTGTGGTATACAAGTGCCATGGCATGTGTGGAGGTCAGGATACAACTTAACAAAAGTCAGCTCTTGGGAGCTGGAGAGATGGCTCAGTGGTTAAGAACACTGGTTGTTCTTGCAAAAGACCCAGGTTCGAATCTCAGCACCAACATGGAAGCTAACAACTGTCCATAACTCCAGTTCCGGGGGATCCAGCAGCCTCTTCTGTCCTCCGTGGGCATTGCATGACATGGGTGCACTTACTTACATGCAAACAATACACACATACACATAAAATAAAAATAATAAACAAAACAGAATAAAAAGTTCTTTTCTTGGGTTGAACTCAGTTAGGTGGGAGGCAAAGTTCAGTGGTAAGAAGAGCCAGATATGTATGGTACCAGTATCATCAGCATGTGTCAGGTAAAACCAGAGTGAAACTGGGGCTGGCAACTGCATTCCAAATGACCTTTTCCTGAGGTCATCTTGGTGCATCAAAGACAAAACATGAAGGAATGATATAGATTTAGATAAACATTTAGATTCAAGCATGGTGGCTCATGCATGTTATCAGACAACTTGAGAGGTTACCTGAAAAACAGCCATGAGTTCTGGGCAGCCTGGGGTATACAGTGAGACTCTGTCCTAAAGAGACAGAAACAAAATATTATTATAACTTAGATCACTGAATAAAGAGTAAATAGAAATGATGTGAATTAAAATCCAAAGAATAGTAGATTCACTCACTTGAGTCTTTGTTGTTTTGTTTGTCTGGCTCTGAACTGTTACAGACTTGATTCCTTTTCCACCGCTCAATCATTCATTTACTTTACAAACATTTATTGATTGCTCACAGGCCCAGGCACTCCGCTAAAATTTTTCTTTGATCCGGCTACACCCATCTTCCAGCCTAATTTTGCAGAATATTTTGGCTTGGAACTTAGCTTCAAAGTCAGACTTTTTAAGTTGCTAGAATGACAACCCTACCAGTAGAGATAAGCAGTCTTTAGGCATTTTTAGGAGTGTTGACTTACATATCAATTTGTTAATCATCAACTGTTCTAGCCCCTCTGGTTTATGTAATTCTGTACTGGATTTAACTCTTTTTATTATTTATTTAAGTTTGGGGGGACAGGGTCGCATGTAGTCGAGACCAGCCTGGAACTTGCTACTTGGCCAAAGATGACCTTGAACTCCTAATCCTCCTGCTCTCACCTCCCAAATTTGGAACTATAGGTGTATGCTGTTATGCAAGCTTCTCTCTCTCTCTCTCTCTCTCTCTCTCTCTCTCTCTCTCTGTGTGTGTGTGGTGTGGAGTGTGCTTGTGGGGTGGGGGCTTGTGCTCAACTGTGTAGGTCTTTGACGACGGAGGTTGATGTCTTTCCTCAGTGGCTTCCACTTTCTTTTGAGAGCCAGGACCTCTTACTGAACCTGAAGCTCCCAGTTTGGGTTAGAATGGCTAGCCAGGGAGCACCAGGATCTTTTCTATCTCCCTGTCCCAGGACTGGCGTCACAAGCACAAGCCACCATGGTGCTCTGCATTTTGAGACTCTGTCTCACTGTGTAGCCCAGGCTGACCTTGAACTTCTGGTAATTTTGCTTTAGCCTCAGATGCCTGCTGGGATTACAGGACAGGACAGGACAGGACAGCTCTTTAAACCGATCTCATTTATAGAGATTTTTCTCCCAGTTCCCACTTTCAGAGCCTGGAGTTGGCTGAGTTTGAATGAAGTGCCCTCTCTCTGCACTGCACTTCTTGGTAGGTGGGGAAATGCAGGGCATCTTCTTCCTGGTCCTAATGCGCACCTATAAACCAACAGGTAGCTGATTATTACTACCTTTTGTTTATGATTATTTCCATATATAAGATTATCAGGTACCATCATGTCTCATATTTCATTTCCTCTTTTAGGAAGAATGAGTTTCAGGATGGCTAAGGAGAAAACAACGTTCCCCTGGGAAGATAAGGCGAATGTGTGGGGAAGTTGGAGGTGAGAACGCTGTGCTGAGAGTTCAGGGGGTAGGCATTACTTCCATCCCTCTCCTACACTGCCCTATTCTCCTACTGCACAATAAATAGGGCACAATTATCCAAGCATAAAGTTCTTTATACTAAATTACTTTCCTCCTTTGTCTCTGTTCGCTAATGAACCCCTCCCCCCGCTGGTACCCAAGCCCTCCACCTAACCCCTCTCTCTTTGCCCTTCCACTTCCGCCTCCTGGTCACTCTCGACTTTCCACAGCCCTGGTCTTCAGCATCCCGGGTGATCTGCGGGTGATGAGAACGCTCAGCCGGCCACCTGGCCCCGGGTAAACGTGAGTCCCAGCAGGAGCTCCAGGGTGGGGGTGGTCTCGGAGGGTCCTGCAGGGTCGGTGGGGTGGGAGGCGCGCTCGCCTGACGTGTAATCCTCACGCAGATTTGCATGGAGTTCTCCGGCGAGAAAGCTGGCAGGTCTTCCTATTTCCCAATTGTTTACTTGCCAAGCCTTCAGGTCCACGCGCCTCCCGGCTGCTCCCCGCCCGCTGAAACTTCATTCAAATGCCAGACAGGGCGGCCCACGAGGTAGCGAATGGGGCGAGAGGATGACCTCCAGTCCACTTCCTCCCTCTCGGAGCCCTGGGTCCTCGCCCCCAGCCACCTTTTCGTAAACAAAACTGTCCCCCTGGGCGAGAAGAGGTCCTGCTCTTTTGCGCCCTCTCTCGCAAAGGGTTAATTTTCCCGATCGCTCGAGGGGGAGGAGATTTCCCTGTAGACGAGTAAAAAGCGTGATGGACAAACGTGCGGGCACTAAGACCGCAAGGCATTCATTTCCTCCTTCGGTGGATGCGGAGGAGAGCCCCTGAGCGAGGAGCCGGGAGCCGCGGCGCAGGCAATGCTTAACCCTGGATGTAGCTGAGGCTGGGAGAGAGCTGACGGCCGGGGAAGACCTCGGGGGGCGGGAGGGGAAGCAGACAGGAGCGTACTCCAAATAAAAGGCTCTTCACAGATTATTTTATTTTGTATAGAGAGCACGTAGCGACTCCGAAGATCAGCCCCAATGAACATGTCAGTGTTGACTTTACAAGAATATGAATTCGAAAAGCAGTTCAACGAGAACGAAGCCATCCAATGGATGCAGGAAAACTGGTAGGTGATGCTTCCGCCTCGGTACTGTTCTGGAGCCAGGCGCGTTTCCGCGGAGTGTGCGTCGGTCTTCCCCATCTGAGCGTTAGTGCGGCGGTAAACCGCCGGCTGCAGCCAGCCGACCGCGGAGTTCCCGGGTCTCTGTGCATGAAGCGTGCGATCTGGGTGCCCTGTGTGAGCCGCGGCCACACGGACATCCTCATGTAGATTATATAACGTAGAACATATATGTGTGCCTGGAAGCAGATCTGCGAGCCTGGAGAGGCAGGAGACGTGCCAGAGTTCAGATAACCCACCTGTGCTGCCTCCCGGCTCGCGTTTAGATTTGGGGTTTTTGGCTTGGCCTCCTGCAACTGGAGCGTGCGAGGCAGCGGAGGGAAGACCGGGTCGTCTCTCCCTTTAACCCTCTCCAGCCCGCCGCCTCTGGTCCTCGCCCTCTCCCCATCCCTCATGTCCTTCCTTTCTCCTTGTGGTTCTCCCATCTCATCGCCCTCCTGACTGCCGCCCCCAGTGGATGCCGGGGTTCAGGGCCCCCCTTTCCCCCGCAGATTCCTTTGAGGTTTCATGAAGACATCGGGGGGTGGAGGGGCGGAGTGGAGGGGACAACGAAAACTGCAATAAAAATGAATGAACCGGAGCAAGTGGAGCCACGCCATTATTAAGTTTCTGTTTAAGGAAACGCCTTTTGGACACGCTTCTCCACGCCCGGCGCCTGCAGTTCAGGCACAGACCAGAAAGCTCCGGAGAGCCGGGCAGAGTCCTTGGGGTTCTTCAGAACTTTTGATCTGGAAGAACACCTTTCTTGTTTACTGTGTTGGAAAATCCCTGGGTGGGAGGCGATCCAGTGTCACCTTGCACTATTTAACCGGGGAGCTCGCGCCTTCCTCGTACACTAAAAGCCGTGGAGACCCTGCGCTCCTCGCCTTTACCCGGCTCTGGCTCTCCGCAGAGCGCAAGCCCAGCGCCGGCGGCCCGCCCCGGAGGGGCTGCTGGGGGCGGCGGGGCTCCCGGGTCGGGGAGGTTCGGCCGCGGGCCGGAGGGCGGTGGCGACCTGCCTTCCCTCCATTCAGCGATGGGGAGCCGGAGCCACCGGCGTGCGGGGCGGGAGGTGCGGGCGCCAGGGGCGCGGGCTCCCCTTCCTCTGCCTGGCCCCGGACTCGCGCTCCCGCCCCTTCCCGGCCGCCCCGAGCCCCCCCTCGGCCTGCAGCTTCCCGCCGGGCCCGTGGGCATCTACGGGGCGGAGCCTGGCCCGGGGCGCGCGCTGCTGCAGGGTGGGTGGACTGGGGGCGGCATCCGGGTGTCCTCGCGGGCTGGGGCCGGAGGGCCTTGCACTTCAGGTTGGGCGGCGGTGGAGAGGCCCGCGCGCTGCGGGAAGCCCAGTCCCCGTGGTGCACTTCCTCCTCCCGCCGAGCGGAGGGTGCCGAAGGCGGGGAGGGCGGGGACCCCGCAGCCGGTCCCGGGCCGGAGCGTCTCCGCAGCCGCGTGTCTCCATCCCTTGGCGCCCCATTCTAGCCCGCTCCCATCCCGCCAGTAGCCCTCTGTCTGCGTTTGCTAAGGCTTGGTGTCTACTCCCTCGCATCCCTGTCGGGCCTGCCTTTCGGGACCAGGCATAGGCGCGTGGCACTCGCCCTTGGCCCTTCCATGCACCGCCGTGGTCGGTACTGCCTCTTTATTTGTTACCTTTCCTCTAAGACCACTTCCTGTGCATGCTGAATCATTTTCCTCATCTCGCCAGTCCCTTAGTGACAGAGCCGCTCTCAGAGCCAGACAGTTCCTGGTCCTCCTGTGACTCAAAATAACCCAAATGCACCCTGAACACGATTTCTCCTTAACTCTTTAACTCTACCTAAAATTACTGGCAAAATCTTTCCGTAGCTTTCTTTTCTGTACCTATTTACACACGCGCCTGTGGCTCTTAAAGGCATGGTCCCAGTTTCATCGCATTTTTGGTTCTGCAAAGGACCTAGTACAGTACTTTCTTAATGCAAATGCTTGGAAAGCCGGGTGATGAAAAGCTGGTTTTCTTGCCAGCACTACCTACTTGTACGCATGCTCCAAGATAAGCATGCTGGCTTCAGGCGCACTGGATGTGTGCCCTTCCTGCCTTCCTGGGCTGTGTAGGCTTTCTGTTCTTGGTTTGTATATGCAGTGAAAGAATCTACCTCCTGAGTCTCCTGTTCCTTAACCCTGTTGCTTTCCTGTTTTTACCTGACAGCATTTCTTCTAGTATTCTGGAAGTTTAGAATTCCATCCCTTCCCCCGAGAAAAAACCCCAACAGCCAAAATGTCTTGAAGTAGGTATTATGAGAAACTGAAGGTTTTTCTCCTCGTGTCACTAGAAGGGAATGCCATAATAAAGGCTTATAGACGCCCTTGAGAGAGGAATGGGGGGCTTGGGGACTGTGAAGAATTAACCTGATCTATTCACTTAGAAGGGTTTAAAGTAGCTTCTGCCCAGTCTTTTGAGAATTTATTTGTCATTGTCCTTAATAATCTGACACAAACCATAAACAATTTGCTACTTTCGAGAATTACAATGTATCCCAAGAAATGCTTTTATGAGTATTTGTTTGAAGATTGTGAGGAGAGCCAAGAGTGGTGGCTTAGAGTAGGCTGAATGTGCTAGAATGTGCTGGTGATCGTGGTTTAGGACTCAAGGAGTTCGTTAAACCCATCCCATAATGCATTCCTTAGCTACCTTGGCACCCATCACAAAATGGGGCTCCAGGTTTGGACTGGTGTAACTCTTAAGGATTAGACTGAGACAAGTTCATGAAGTTTATTACTGTTTTAATGTTTAGTCTGATACATTGGCTTATATATGAAATATTATAAACAATTTTTGTAGCAGTTACTTTCGTACAGGATAGACTGTAGTAACAGTTAAAATGTAAAGTAGTAAGTGTATTCTCTTGGAAAAATCACCCTGAATTATATGTTGAAACTATATGTCCAGTTAAAAATAGCCTGGGTAATAATCTGGGGAGTTTCTAAGACAAACTAGAGGAAAATGCCTTCTTCTAACTCCAAGTAACATTTTTCAGTTCCAGTTTCATACTGAAAGGCTCTTGTGATTTGACAACATTAAAATAGAGACCCTTTGTTCTTTTATGAGATGCCTGGCCTTTACCTGCTGTGCTCACTAATAGCTGACTTGATTCCTAAGTGTTGCTATCAAGGGAGCAGAATCACCTAGCGATTGCAAAGGCGACATCAAATTCATTGAGTGAGAGGGAAAGCAGGCTGTGCTTTCTCCCTATCAGCAACCCCTCCAGGTTTGTGCTAACAACAGTGGGTGTTCGCTGCTCTGGTTGTAACTGCCTGGCCAATGATGATTATCTTCTGATGTCGGCTGACACGGTGTTCGCCAATAGGAAAACAGGAGGCCTGTGCTGACTGCTGTAACAGTCTGTATGTGAGGTGACGTCATCAAAGGGCTTGCCTAGAACCTCATGAAACCCTCCCCCTCTCCTGGCATCCTCCACACACCCAGCTTTCAGTGCTTTGTATATTTTTCCTGACTTTTTTCCTCTCCCCCTGTGGTGTTTTCTATAAGGCTTTTATTTTATTTTACATTTTGAGTTTTGCATTCTGGGGTTATGAGACAGAATTTTTATTGTCCAGCAGAGGAAAGCTTTTTATTCACAAATATATTTTTACAGAAGGGAAAAAAACAGGCTTTAAAAGAAGTTGCAAGTCTATATGTTCTTTTTTATATGTGCGTTTTAGAAGGCAGTGTGGCGTGTCATGTCAGTTTTAGAACACAACGGCGTTATAAATCTGTGTTTTGCTCAAAATATAGTAGTGTAAGGTTGATGGAGCTTTTCAAATGAGATCTAGGTTGTTTTCCTTGTCTGGAGAACTGCTTTGAATTGCTCCAGAAATTTTCTTGGAGCCTGTTACCTGTGTCTGAGAAAAGTGCTGGGGCGCCTTTGGACATGGAGCAGATCAGGCCAGAGTTTCGTGGGTGATTATTAGCACGATAACAGATGTGATTTGGGTCAGTTGTGTAGGAAAATGTTGTGTCTATATTGAATTCGTTATACAGTTGCCATTTATTTTGGAGAATCATGCCTCATGTTAGCATTAGGATTGAAAAGTCATGAGTAAGAGGATCTTGGTGATCTTCTGTGCACTGGGGTACAGGTATGTATGTTAAGAGATAAGGCATGCCAGGCCTGGTGGCACAACTTTGGCCTGGACTTCCAGGTATCTTTCAGGAAATTGTGAGTATTCATGTATTCATTCCTTGTTCAGGGCCCAAGGACAAAAGCCAGCTTAATGTAAATTATTTTGCTGTTCTGTTAATCTACTTATTTGTTTTAGTTAATATATGGAATAAAGGGTTCTTTTTAATCTTTTTCTGTCTTTTTTTTTTTTTTTTTTTGATAAGGTCTCTTAAATTGGAATCTGAATTGTATTGTTTCTGGAAAATTGCTGGTTACCTTTACATTGCTGATTCTAAAGGTGTCAAGGTATAATTAGAATTTTACTCTATAGCCAACCCACTCCTTGTCCACCAGTTGCTTTATGTACTCTCTTGAAAGGAGAATCTTTCAGCCTAAGACAGTGGAAAAGCTCTGAGAGAATGAAGACTTTCACATACTTAGAAAGACCTAAAATAACCAATTAACATTGGCTAAGAAAGTAAAATTAAGAGTCTAACAATATTATGGCTGTTCAAGAATTTGTTCTTTTTATCAGTGATCTGGAATATTTTAGGTCCAAGTACTTTCTGAAGTTAGTTATCCACAACAACTTGAGATGATTTACTTACTGTCTCCCACAGAGACAGAGGTGAACGATGTTGCTCTTTTTTTAATAGGGATCTGACACCCATCCGTAAAACTTGTTTCCATCCCACCTTCCTTGTCTGCGTTCAGAGCTTCCCGACTCTGGTTTGCTTTCTTGTACCTTTGTCAGGTGAACTCAGGGACCTACTTAGGATAGTTAGCTATATCACTCATATTATACCTGTAGATAATCCTGGGAAAGCTGAGTAACACCATGTTTTGGTCCATGACTTCATTTCTTCACCTATAATATATATATAAATGTGCGATGTCACAACTACTCAGAACTTTTTTTAAAGAATCTCAAGTTGTATTTTATCTCCAGTAATATATTTTATATAGAGAGTAGTTCTTTCAAAAAAAATATTACCATAACAAATTATGAATTTGTAAATGTATTGTGCAAGAACATCTCAAAGCTCAGGACCATGGAAAGTCGTCTACATTTAGGTCTATGTATTTACAATTAACTTCGATGTTGAGCACTTGTGAGTTTTAGTTTTCAGGGTTTAGTTTTTGAGACCCAGGCTGATCTAGAACTTGAAGTCCTTCTGCCTCAGTCAGTGCTGGTGTGTGCCCCCATCTTTCCGTCCCCCAACTACTTCTCAGGTTCTTGATTCCCAGGAGATTGTAGTGGCTAGTTCTTTTAGGAAATCTTCTGTTTAGCTAGCCCTTCACTGTTAACATTGGAAATTTACCTTTAAGCCTTTACTTTGTTTTTTTAAAAAAATTACAAGTGAAGGAAGTGAGAACATACGAGGTGCATCACATCAGTTTGCTGATTGCAGCGGTTTTGCTGGATGGTCACGTGTGGCTTTCTAATGTTTTCATTCTGTTACTTTCAAGATTTCATACTTGAGGTTATTTCTGAAACTTTGGAGAAAAGTGAATTTCAGTACGGTAGGAAGAGTATCATTTGTATAATATATTTTGTATATGATGTTTATGATTACATTTTAAGTGAAACGCAACTCTTTTCTCAAAATATAGTTATTACTTTTATGTGTGTGTATGTATGTGTATGTGTATGTGTTTGCTTGTCTGTGCACCATGTGGGTGCAGGTGCCCTCAGAGGCCAGAAATGGTATCAGAGCATTTGTGAGCTGCCTGATGTGGGTTTTCTGCAAGAGTGTCCAGTGTGATTAACTGCTGAGCCATCTCTCCAACCCCCAAGATATTTCTTAAAGATAAATTTATTAACACCTGTCCTTGAAATTTGTTTTATGTGAATTTCAAGACTGAATTTCTGTTGTTGCTGTTGTTTTGTTTGTTTGGTTTTGGTCTTTTTGAGACAGGGTCTCCCTGTAGCCTCAGCTGGCCTGGAACTTGCTATGTAGACCAGGCTGGCCTTGATCACACAACAATTCACCTGCCTCTGCCTCCAGAGTGCTGGTTAAGGCAGAATTTCTGAACTGACTCTTTGTTAATTCTTGGAGAGTATAAATGATATTCTTTGAAGACTAAAAAGATCAATGAAGTGCATGTTTGCCATTTATCTTTATTAGGAGAGTACAGAACTTACCTAGAAGTCTCTGTACATGTTAGTGCTTACACATGTACACATGTGTATTGCAGAGGTTAATGTGACTTTAAAAATAATGAAAACTGATACCCACAAAAGATCCTTTCTTTACTATAAGAACCTGATGAGCTAAACAGACTTTTCCAAAATTTGCAGTAAAGTAGGTCCTAATAAAATTTACCATAGGCCTTTTTTTTAAAAAAGCTAAGTACTGTGATTTTAATAAGCATTTAGGACTACAAAAATTGAACATTGACTCTTGGATTTGCCCCAACTATGGGTGAATTTAAAAAAGAAAAAAAGAGAATCTTAGGTGAGGTTGGTAACTGCTAAAATCCT